TCCACTAGTCACACATCTCCAACCAGATTCTGCCCCATTGACTACAACTCTCTGACTCCTTCCTTTCAACCAGTTCCTAATCCACCTCACTTCCTGGTCACCAAACCCATACCTGATCAACTTTTCTACAAGGATGCTGTGGGAGACGGTGTCAAATGCTTTACTGAAATCAAGATAAACCACATCTACCGCTCTACCATCATCTATCCACCTAGTAATTTCCTCATAGAAGGCTATGAGGTTAGTCAAACATGATTTACCCTTGATAAAACCATGTTGACTGCTCTTGATGACCCCCATGTCCTTGATGTGTCTAGAGATGGTGACAAGAACAAGTTGTTCCATCACCTTTCCAGGGATGGAGGTGAGGCTGACCGGTCTATAGTTACCCAGGTCCTCCTTCTTGCCCTTCTTGTAGACTGGTGTGACATTTGCTATCCTCCAGTCCTCAGGCACCTCTCCTGTTACCCATGACATACCGAAGATGATGGAGAGTGGCCTAGCAATGACCTCCACCAGCTCCCTCAGCACCCTTGGATGCATTCCATCCGGACCCATCGATTTATGGATGTCCAGATTACTCAGCTGATCCCTAACCCAATCCTCATCTACTATGTCAAACTCCTCATCTATCTTGACTACTTCTGGGGCTATATGAATCTGGGGCTCATGGGGAAACCCTGCAGGAGTAAAGACAGAGGCAAAGAAGGCGTTCAGCACCTCTGCCTTCTTTATATCCTCTGTCACCAGGGCTCCCACCTCATTCCTCAGTGGGCCAATATTGCCTCTAAGTTATGTATAAGTTGATTTTTTCAGGATGTGACATTATCTTTTAAGACATTGCAATACTAAAAAAGAATGCCACAGATTGTATTTTCAATTATGTCGTAAGTGATTTTTGTGAAAAAATGTTAATAAGTCACCAAAATCCAGTATTTTGACCTGATATACATTCACAAAATAGCCTCCTGTAGTGTCAAAATTTCCTATATGCCTTTGATTGCAGTACCTTGGTCTGGTTACAATTATGCATCAAATGAGCCATTGCAGTTGTCTCTGTGCACACTCTTAGCCCTCAGCAAAGGCTCAGTAACATTACTTAACATTTAACTTTCTCTCATAGTAAGCTAAGTAGCATCCCCTTAGCTTGTGAATTAACAAGACGGTTAATTGGTCCCAGCTGATGTTTTATCACAATTTTTACTACACTAACTTCATATGTATCAGGCCCTAAATGTCTGTCACTGAGCACATGAACATGTACATGAGTCTGACAGCTGTGATCATCAGATATAAGCCCTACATAGGTCTGGAAAACATGCAAATCCTGAGGAGGTGGGCATATCCAGAATACACCTGGTCCCACCAAAGGCAGCCATCATGCAAGTTATGGTTCTATGCTTGTACATTCTTCATTTAGTAAATAATGATGGAGGTTACATTTGAGGAAAATACTTTTGTGTCTCATTCCAGGGAAGATTCACAGCCAAATGCAGAGAGTTGTGCCCTTGTCACTAGCAGAGAAGTGCCTGCCTTTTTTACAGACATAGTTGAAGGCACTTCCTGGATCATCCTTATTTTTTTCATTCTCCTCCTTCTTTCATGTTTTACAGTATTTTTCGAAAGCATGAATTTTGCTTTGGTGATAAAATTCAGAATTGCAAAGAGATCATGTTGCCTACTCTTGACTATTATGGCTTTTGACGCTGTCTCCTATAACATCCCCACAGAAAAACTAACAAAGTACAGGATGAATCATTGTACAGTGAGGTGAATTGAGAATTGGCTGAATGGCCAGTTCCAGAAGGTTGCAGTTGTGCAACTCCAAGGGCAGTCAGAGGCAAGTCACTACTGGTGTACCCCAGAGCCCAGTACTAGGGCCAATACTGTTTCAGATTTTCATCAGATGATACAAAACTGGGAGGAGTGTCTAACACATAAGATGGCTATACAGCTATTCAGAGGTACATTGATGGGCTGGGTAATTCATCTGAGAACAAGGACAAATGCAAAACTCTCCACCAGGAGAGGAATAATGCAAGGCACCATTCCATGCTGGCTGGAAAAGAGCTCAGCAGAGAAGGACCTGTGGGTCCTGGTGGACAATGAGCTGATCGCAAGACAGCAACATCTCATAGCAAAGGCAGCCAAATGCCTTCTGGCCAGCACTATTAAGAGCACTGCCAGCATGAGAAGGGAGGGGATCTTTTCCCTAAACACAACACCAGTGACACTGCACCTGGAGTATTGTGTCCAGAAAGTGATGGAGATCCATCAAAGGGCCATAAAGATGATGAATTGATTGGAGAATTTCTCACATGATGAGAGGCTGAGAGAGCCAAGACTGTTCAGCCTTGAGAAGAGAAGGATCAGGAGGATCTTATAAATACCTGATGGGTGGGAATGAACAAAACAGAGCCAGGCTCTTCTCAGTGGTGCCCAGATACAAGGTAAGAGGCAACAGGCAAAAAATAAGAAACATTAAATTCAACCTGAACAGGAAAATATTGTTTTACTGTGGGGCTGGTCAAACACATTGCCCTGAGAGGTTGTGGAGAGTCCATGCTTAAAGATACACAAAATCTGACTGGAAATAGTCTGAGGAAACCTGCTCTAGCTGACCCTGCTTGAGCAGGAAGGGGTGCAGTAGATAGTCTCAGGTGGTCCCTTCTAAATACAACCATTCTGTATGATTCTGTGTGAAAGAGGAAAAATTACTAGTGTGCTTTAAGACTATACACAGGCCAGCTTAATTCAAACATCCATTTCTGATGCTTGGAAGGTCACCATATATTTATTTTAGAAGAGGTCTGATCTCATCAACATTCTGAAGAAGGATGCAGGTGAACAGTGAAAACCATAATTCACAGAGTTGCCTGGTCCATTTGCCTGCCACACATTTCAGCATTAATTGCACATGGGCAAACAGTGCTTTTGTCAACAAGAGCAGAACAGCTCTACATGTTCCACTGAACTAGCTTCTGTTCTCTATCAATATTGTTTCATTTTTTTTTCCTAAAAACCCAACATAGAAGTGTAGAAAAAGTAAGCTCTTCATTTCTTTTTAAACTGGAGCTGGGCAAGGTCAGAATAAAAAGCATCTTGTTCTCATCTCCATGTATTAACTTAACTCCTGCAATCTGCAACCTTTAAAATCCAAGCCTGTGTTAGTAGTCATAAATGCAGTTTACTCATACTGGAATGTTAAACATTAAATAGCAGTATAATATTTTTAACAGATTGATTTTTGTTTCCCCTTGCCAGTGCTGGAGAGGAACACATTTAATAAATCATTAATTTTATGGATATCCTAATGATAGCATTTATTTTTGAAGACACAGGCCCAACCTCACTCATAAATAAAAGCTTGCTCAAAAGAAAAATATATTGGTCTTATCTTGGCAGTTTTTCCTGCATCTCCTGTTACACACTCCAGTTCAATACGTATAGTTCAGTTTTCCTTTGCTTTCTGTCTCATTTCCTCCTCTGTATAAAAATGCTGCTGTCCCATCTAGTAATTAAACTTTTTATTCCTCTCTCTGTTATTCTCTTCTTTACATACCAACAATTGCTTCATCTCCTTTCATTCCTTTTGCCACAACTCTTGACTACTTTCTGCTGCCACTTCTCACTCTGTCTCTTGCAGCTTCCTTTCTGAATTCCTGAATGTCTCCATCTTGCAGCTGCTGACATTCTCAGTTTTGAATCTAACACTGAGTTGCTGTCACACCACATGACAGGTATGCCTCAGAAGCCCTGGAAGCTTCCTTTACACTCTCCTGTCACAGGTCCACTTTAGGGTGCACTGCTAAAACTAGTGATATTTTTGGCCATGAACTTCAAGAAGCTTGGGAGTTTGTATTCAATAGCTCATTCTTGAAAGCACTTTCATAGCATGATCAAAATTCCCCTCTCATTTTCTGATCACAATCTGCTCCCCTTTTCAGCAGTCAAATGTCTGATGTATTTCCATGACCAGCCAACCAAAAAAGAAACACCTGGACATGAGCACATTCCCAAAATGGAGGCTTTGTAAATATGAAAGCAGACATTATAGTGACAAATGTGTCCTCACCCACTGTAGGAAGCTAAAAGAAAATAGTCAAAACTATTTCTCCCTCTGTAAAGGCTTAAAGAATAAAGATAAGTTTGTTTAACTTTCTTTACCTTTTTTTCTTTTTTCCTTTTTCTTTTTTTTTTCCCCAGAAAGGTTATTTAGCACCCAGTTCTGTTTCTTTGTTTTGGGTTCACCCTGGCAAACATTTCCAAATCTTTCCTACTGGATGAGCTTTTAGCAAATTATAGCTTCCAGCCAATTGCTTGCTTGCTGACTCCAAATGCAGAAAGATTTGCTCTTCTATCCATAACCTCTTCCTGGCCAGCTTCCTCACTCTCTTGCCCAGTAAGCTATGAGATCAGCTCTCCCTTTCATGTGAAGTGGCAGGATAATATTACTTATTATAATAATTAACTCTGTACTAGAGAATATGCAGTTGCTTTGACCTTGCAATTTGCAACTGTTTAATCCACTCCTGAAAACAGGAAGAAAGAGATACAAGAATCTAAACATACATGAGTTTTTATCTCATGGTTCTTTATAACCTAATTACCAGATAATCGTGCTAATCGTTCCAAATCCATTGTCATTACGTAGAGAAAATCTTCATGTAAATGTATGCAATCTGTATTTTTCATTATGGAGTTTTATCAAGTTTTTTTTAAAGGCTCTTTCTTTTAGAACGAAAGCTAAATCACAATAATCAGCTCACCAGCTAACAGTACATTTCCAGTCATACCTGTGATTATACTTGAGATGATGAGCGGCAGAATGATGAGTTTGAGCATTCTCATCAGCATTTCACCAGGAAAGGAAAAGTAAAATTTATCCAGGTTAGACAGTTTGCCATATTCCCGTACCAGCATGCCAACTCCAATACCTATAAGGCACATAAAAAATGTGACACAAATTAGCAGTAATTTATAGTACAGACATGGGGGGAATGCAGGAAAAATAATAGAACAATAAAACAAGAAGAGCCAAAAGCAGAAACGTCTTGCAGGAGGATCTGTCCCATGATCTTCACAGGCACAGAGGTGAGGCTGACAGGTCAGTAAGTTCCCAGGGTCCTCCTTTCTACCCTTTTTAAAAATGGACATAATGTTTCCCTTTTCCAGTCACTAGGGACTCCACCTGATTGCCATGATTTTGAAGTATCATGAAGAGTGGCTTTGGTGGC